TGTTCCTGAAAAAGAAAACTATTTTTTTAATACCATGGTGATTTGGAAAATGTGTATTTATCACTTGTATATATTCGTGTTATATAATTTGTTTGTAATAATTATCAATCTCTATATTTTAGATTATTAATTTATTAAAAATTGTCGTCAATTTTTTTTTTTTTTTCATGAAAGACTTTTTGTTTACAAAATTACATTAATCATATTTATATTTAAATATGAAATGTTTCATATCTTCTGGTATTTTGTAATATTGTGATTTTCTTGTAGTGTTTTGTAGATCATCACAATAATCTTTCTTTCTCAAGTGATTTCAAATTTTGATACAGCAAGATGTTAAAAACAATTTCAATATGATAATCAAAATTATTACAATAGATAAAAATGGCTTGTGATTTGCAAACAATGATTATACGTTACATCAAATTTTTATTATCTTCTTTTTAGAATTTTCACATAGTTAATACGTATTTATGTATTCAATTAGTACATACATAAAATATACCATATTATATACATATAATGTAATAATAATTCCTTTCAATATTTTCTAATAAATTCTAAAAAATTAACTTAATCTAAAATAAATCGTCCTCCTGTATCACAAGAATTTACTGATACCTTTATACACGCAATCTTTGTAATTCTCGACATCCTCTCGTGATGATCAGGATTTTTATTTAATTAAATCCGCTCGTAGCATCCATCCTTCAAACAAAACATTCATTTTTTTACATAACATCGTGCAATCTCCACGAGTAAGTAATAACATAATAAATTATTTAAAAAACATTTGCTTCAAGAACTTACCTATTTTTTACAATATTTATTTAATTAAAATTATTAAAAAAATAAATAGTACCTAATCGCATTTCAAAATTTCCCCGCTCACTTATTCAACCCCCCTTCCCCCCCCTATTTCGCCAACCTCGTCAACCCCCTCGAATTAACGAATTCGAATCCGCCACTCGCCAAGCCTAGAATCTCTCGTTTCCCGCGCAGGTGTCGTGTGGACGGGGCTTTAGATCGGATCGCGGTGGCATGCGAGACTCGAATTCCGGACGTGGAGGAGACAACGCGTAGCGGAAAGTAATCACGCATATATACCAGGGCCAGGCTGCAGGGAGGAAGGCTCCGATCGATTAGCCTGTATCCGCGATACGTACGCCACCGCCGCGCACCGCAACTACGTGACAAATATTATCGCGATCGACCGACCAGCTGCGTTTGATGTGGACGCGTTTATGAAATGCCGACACGCCGATAATCATGCGCGACCAGCGCCCAAGGCTAAATCCGATTTGCAATATTAAGCCGCCCCCGCGCGCCCCGCGTTACAGGAGAGCGCGAGGAAGGAAGGAATAGGAAACGGGGGGGTGGAGGAGGAGGGCACGTGTTTTTTTCTTTTTATTTCCTTTTTTTTTTTTTTTTTTTTTTTT